GTCCCGCTGAGCTTGATATTGAACGAAATGATTATAAAAACAAGCAGACGAACCTGTGGCGATGAACACATTGCGAAAGAGAACGACGGAGCAAGTACGCTTTGTTCGGTCAGCGAAGCCACGTTCACTCCGAAAAACACAGATACTGCACAGCCCTCACCTGAAGACTGCATGCTAGGCTTCCTGTATTTATTTCTCGCAGATTCACATAGTGTAGCGACGTTATTCATGCGTTTACGGGTCCGCAGGTCACGAGATGTGCCTCTAAACCATACACTCGATCGCAGCGAAACCATTCCGAATCCGTAGTAGGGTGGCTAGAATGAGGAGGTGTGATAAGCGGCTGCTGAAACCGGTCCCCAAAGCGCGCCGATTTCGCTTGGAGCGCTGCACGCAGAGGCGCGGGTACCCTTGCGCAGGCGACATACGAATGAGCGTGCGCTCCTCTCCGCAGAAATCTCTCTCACGCAGTTAGACGCAGGCCCGTAGCCGGGGGGGGGGGGGGGGGGGGGGAGGAGCTAGGGGCTCCTTCCCTCCTAGTTTTTAGCAAGTGCCCCTCCCCCCGGAAAAAATTTCTGGCTACGGGCCTGCTCTCACTCTATAAGGCGGTCAGCTATTTTCGGTGAAAACCTTTTTTTGTTGAGTCAATGTACGACAATACTTAAGATACTTAAGGCAGGTAATGTCTTACGCGGCTTAAGTATCTCTATATTTTCTCGTCTCTGAAAACAATTTTCGAGAAGGCATATGAGCGAGACCCGACACCAACTTTTGTGGATTTCGTAATATTGCGGTTACTCACGGCAGAACTGCAGGTGTGTTACGAGACGTTGCGATTACTGGAAAGCTTCATATTACTTAGAGCATCCTAATTTCCTTCATCCACGAGCACAAACGTCGGTACAAGAGCCTCATTTTGCTGCTCCGCCGCGAACGCACAATCTTATGTGAGTCGCAGCTTAAATTCTCACTTGGCATTCAATTATCGGTTTCCGAACGTAGAAGTTTTAACAGCCGACCTTTGCTCATTAACTTGGACGAGTAACGAATTAAGAGTGCAAAAACTTGCGTATGTCGCGAAGCCTATGACTCGAGAATCGTCCCCAGCAGCAAAAATAGAGGAGACACTTTTTCAACAAAAACATAAATTTATTTCCATGCATGCCGAGGTATTCGTGCTCTGCCTCTAGAGTACACATGGCTTAACTCTCCGCCCTTTCTTTTGTCTTCTTTTTGGTTGATGCCTTTCAAAAAAAAGTGGACACGAGTGAGGCAATAAAATCGCACCACACTTTTGGTCAAGAGAGCACCATGCTTTGGGCCGCCAATTTGTTGTGTCTCGCCAATCCCCTTCAGCATCTCTAAGGCCGACTTGGCGTGAAAACGTGCTGAGCTCAAGAAACGAGTGATTTTGTCGTCAAGGTTCAGGATGAGGGCATACAGGTGATTCGACGGATGCAAAAGTCCGCCCAGATCCCACAGCTTGCTTGCCTGGGCTGGGAGATTTCCTGGCACACTTTCTCTCGAGACAAGACAGACGTTCTTGTACTCATCACAATTATTGCTAACTATACGCTTTCTCGCAACGTAGCCTGCGACATAATATACAAGGCGGGAGTCACTTCGCTCAGCAGTGTACGATGCATGATCTATAGACACTATCGGCACCCAGGCACAAAGCACCAACGCTGGGTCTTTTTTTTTTTTACCATTGACATCCTCGGGCATTTCAGAGGGACCTCGCGCAAACACTGACTGATGTCATACTTGTAATGTAGTGACTGCTTGTGAAGAAAATCCTAGCGCACCTGCAGCAAACACAGGGAAGTGCGCCGCTCCCTACCCACGTCGCTGCCATCAGCGCCCCTTGCGGCATCGGCGCACCGAGTGACCCTCTCCGACAAGCGAAAAGCGCCCCGCTCATCACACTTCCCCATTCCAGCCACCCTATCCATAGTGCAGCTTTGATAGATAGATGTTCAACGTTTTATAAGTAGCTGGAGGTGTGAGAGCGTCATAGCCATGAAGTAGGTAGTAGCTGGCGCCATCTAGAGGGACAAAACGAAACTAAAAAAAGTTGCCTGACACGACGTACGTTGTCATACACACAAACACGACTCCCTTGCGTATTTTTTACACCTCAGCCCATTTAAGATTACTCACTGACCCCGGAAGCCTAATATGTGCTGATGCAATCCATATAGCTACACATGCACACATGGTCACATACTACACATATAGTACGCAACAAGTACACTAACATATACGCTAACAAGTACGCAACAAGAGCACAATCTGCAATTCGCAGCAACGGCCCACACATCGACGTGTTTACTCACACCCTACTGTGAAAGCGCGCCAGCTTATATAGCGATAATTTTCGACTGACCATAGTGGCACAAGTTACAAGTAGGTTTTCTTACACTTTTTTGCGTTTTGTATCAATACCACAACATGCGCACACGTAAATATATTTGATCTGATGCTTAGACAAACGTAAGTTTAATAATGGTTGCACAATAATGAACGAAATAATTACTAGAGCTTATCATTTTTTCCCGAAGGCGGATACCCCCAAGCCATGCATAGAATGCCCACGGCATTCCGAACGCTGCGCCATCTGTAGACCACTGCCACAGTTACTTTTTTTCTTGAAGCCTCCGAGAGTGCAAACACTTGCTGTGCGTTAGCCATTTTGGAGGTCACGTTTTTTTTTCTTCTTGTTACTTGGAGAGGGCGCAGCATGCAGACCAAACTTTGTCTTCGTCGTGGTAGGTGTTCTGTGGTGACGTCGACCTCGTTTAGTTGTTTCGTCTTAACGTTTGCTTATATTCTTTTTACGTGCGTACCACAAGTGTGACCGTTAGCCATGGATACAGTACACCACCAGCCCTTCAATGACAATGTTTTTGATGCGGTAACGACCGTCCTAGCAGTGTATACGTACGTTACAACTCGGGTCTTGCGAGAGAAATAAGCGATGACCTCGCATCCGACGGTATTTTTTCGTGAGCTATGACAGTGGCTGTTGGCGTCGCGGCAGCTCTAATACTTGAGTGGAGGAACTATCACTGCAGTGCGCAAGTTTGCTATAACCTTATGGAATGTTGTGCCTGCATACTTTTCTACTTCAGATGCCTCTTGCGATTCGCCTCGCGTGTCAACTTGCAATCATAGTGCGTGCCACAATTTTGTTGTTAGCGCTGTGGCTGTGGTGGTTAATACCTTGGATTCGGAATACTCTTTTCACAAAGCTGAGTGAGCGTTAGGACTTAATGTCTGTGCACAGCTGTTACTAGAAGAGCATTTGTGTTGAGTTTCTCACGACAAAGGAGAATCATGGACGAGAAAGGCATACTGCACGCGTGCATAATTCCTTCCTACTTCTCAGTGCTGGCGTGGGCAATTCAAAACGAATGCCAATGAGAATTTGGCTTAACCTACAGAAGTCATTGGTTCACTTTTCACAAAAGTTTAGTTATAATGATGCTTAAAAAGTTTTTGGTGGTTGTAACCTAGTCTGGCAAATAAACACTCGGTGAAACTTCGCAGCCTGTTTCCCTTTGTGCTTTCACCTGCCGTGGTAGCATAGCCTTATTGGGTGTCGTGTGACTATGCTGGAGGACGCAGGTTCGACTTCTGGCCACGGCGGCCGTATTCGAAGGGGGGTAAACTGCCAAGAACATCCATATGGGGGTAGTGGCACGTATAACTCTATTATTGTATATGATCGTACTTTCACGCATGGACTGTAGAGCAGTATCAGGTTTCCTAGAATGTTGAAAAATTAAGTGTGATGCTTTTTTACGCGCCTCGTTGAACTCATGAGTGCTGTTGGTGCCATGCGAAACTAAAAATGCGTGGGCTTACCAAGTATGTCAACACCGAAAAAATTCATTATTTTTTTACACTCTAAGGTAATCGATAAAGCAAGACTCCTTGGGAAGCAGAGCTCCTTGTATTCGTGACAAATTGGTAGTATGAAACAACTTGAGACACACATGGAAGTGTGCGGAGCATCGTGTGAGTGCCTGACGATAAAAAAAGAGAGGCTTTAACTCTACACTAATAAAACAAAAGAAAACATCACTCCTGCATTGCTTACAACAATCTTAGGTAAAAGCAATCGCTCGCGACTGGCCGCGGCTGGCTATAGGCTTGGCGTGCGCATGCGCGTGAGCAAGACCCCCATGACTGAGGAGAAACTTGAACGCTGAAGGAGGAACGTTGCTCCTTTGGTCCTTGCCGCGAGAGGGCGCAACGGGTAAAGCGCCCGAAAGGGAGGAAGTCGCTGCGCCGAAGGAGGAACGGAGCCCGTTTCTCCATTCTCGCTCCTTTTTTTTTAGAGTGTGCGACTCAGCAGCTGAGTACCTTAGCCACTAGACCACCGCGGCGGGGCCCCTATTAAGACTACGGCCCGACTCTGCAACATAAAAGGGGCGCATTTCTCCAGCAGGCTAGTTGAAGATAAAGCGATCCATATTTTCTTTTTCCTTTATACTGGCTACCTCACAGTGAGCCTATTCGATGGAGCATCTTCCCGATGCGTGCAAGTCTAACCACGTGCCGCTTTTTGTATGTGGGCTCTCCTTATCCACTGAGAGAACATGAGGGCGCAATTAAAGCTTGTTAAAAATAGCGCAGTTGCATATCAGTTGATCTTGCCTTTGTATGCCTCGGTGACATGTTTATATAGGTACGTGTGCACTTGTGGACTTAAAATATAATTATAACTAATTAACCAAACTTCATTACCAAAACAATAAGAGCATATGCTACAATAAACTAGGTTATTTTCGCGTAACATACTTTCTTTTTTTAAATCATGCTGCGTTATAATTTGCACACCATTTATAAGAGACGATAATGTTGTTGCAACCTTGACTGCGTGTGTGCAGCTTGAAAATATAATCGATTATACCGTATCCAGATGACTGAAATAGAGAAAATATATCAGGACGCAAAGTTTATTCCATTCCCTCTCTCCTCGTTTAATGCAGTTTGACGGCAAGAAAGACAAGGTGTGCTACAAATTCGTGGGCTGCTTCAGCAACCGGGACAGGTTCACACACCCGACTTCGTTTCCCAGCGATCCGGAGCAGGTGGACACAAAGTTCATGCTTTACTCGCGCTCCAACCGGCGCTCACCCGTGAAGCTCGACTACCGGCCCACGAAGAGCATAGGTAACCTCGCCCAGTTCAATCAGCGCAAGCCTCTTAAGCTCATCGTGCACGGTTTCCTCGAGAGTGGCAATGTCAGCTGGATCCAGGGCATCAAGGACGCATTTCTGGACGAGGTACGTGTACGCACGTATGCAGTAGTTGGTTGCACAATTAGGATAAATGAAGCGTGTAAAGAGAAATACGTGAGAACGAAATTGCCGCGGCACACACTGTATGCAATTGCCTAGCTAGCTCGCCGTGGTGTGATGACACCGAAACGACTGGATGTGATAGAGTAGCCATGAGGCTATGGTTATATTCAAGGGAAAGAAGAAAAAAAGACAAATACCGAAAAAAGCTGCCCTTTTAATGAACACTTCGCATCATTTGCTGCCCTATACGGTCGGTGCAAAGCCTATCACTTTCAGCTGATGTACACACAAGCTAATTGGTACAACGTAGTCGAAGACAGTCTTAATTTTCGAAAATCTCAAACCTGTAATGCATTTTTCGCGTGAAGGATTTTGCCTTTTTTTTGGTTTGACATAACCACCTAACTACGCTAGTTATGAAGGTAGTTAAAAAACTTTCTAAAATACTGTCTCGAATGATGTCTTAGACACCTTAGTATGCCTGCGGCGGCCGCCGATATGCGCATGGGTGTATGACTTGTTGTGTTTCTTCTTCTTTCTCTCTTCTTTTTTCTCTTTCTTCCTTCCCTCTTCATAGGGTAACTAATTGCATGCATTCAAAGTAACATTCCTGCCTTTTTTGTACTTTTCTGTCTCTCTTGTGGCTACAAATTAAGACATTGCGAAGGCCTTGAACGAACATCATATTTCCTTGAGTATAGGGATTTCGGAAACGTTTCTTGAAACAAGTGATGTGTATATTAAACCAACATGCCCCACACCGTATAACTACGGTGTTAATTGATGTTTGTTTTCTTTTTGATTACTTTTGCATTCCACCTAGCAAGCGCTTTCCGATAACACGCAACGATAGGAAATGCTTCCACAAGTTCATAAAATTTACCGCCCTTGTTGGTGGTGCTCAGGTGAAGAAATTGCTGGCACTCTTTGCAAGGCCAGATCCACCCGCAGTAAACACTCGGCTTCTACGCGTTCGGTAAAGGTCGCCAACTTGTTATTCCCAATGCGTAATTCATATACAGCCAACTTAGTAAACACATTCCGTGCAAAGCATGAAAGAGCAAAACATAAAAATATGCAAATATTCCTATCTGTTCTGGGCTGACAACGCTCAAGGCGCTCCACTAAACAGTTCCAGCAATACGAATTAAAGATAGATAGATGTGTAGGGTTGAACGTCCAAAACCAGAATATGAATATGAGAGACACCGTAGTGGAGGGCTCTGGAAATTTTGACCACCTGGGGTTCTCTGACGTGCACCCAGATTGACCACACGGGCATACAGCATTTTGGCCTCCATCGAAAAAGAAGTCGAAGCGCTGCGTGAATATTGAAGTCTCTTCACTGCTAGTTTATTCTTCTTTCTCCAATTAAGGAAACGCTAAAGCCTTCCATTGGGTCGTTTATCTTCAATCGCAAAGCTTTAGCAGTTCCCACTGCTTTTAGCAGGAATCGCCCATAGAGTTGCTTGACAATTCTAGTACAATTGCAAAGAGCAATATTCGACTTTCTTGCCTCTGCTCGCGATTTATTGTTATGCAGATGCTTACGTGTGGTCGTATTGAGACGTTGAGACAACTGGTCCTTGAAAACCGCCTTTGAATATCCTCGGTTTAATCTCGCAAAGTTTGAAGACGCCGTTGCTTTCTGTCTTTCTGTTCTTTTCTTTTTTTTATTGTGCGAGTGTGCCCTCAATAGTGCGGTGATGTTCCCTCTGTTGAACATCTATACCAACTGTTCATTTAGTCGAGCCTTTCGCTTTCTTTTGCTTGTACTTTCTGCCACTCCACCACTACCAGCCCTCTTTAACGAGCCATACACGCTGTCTAGGAAACCTCCTTGCCTTTATGCGAATTGAAGTTCATTTTGATTCCTATATTTTAATCCCTGACAACGTTCTAATGCCTGAAGCTGTGGCGAGAGCCGAAATAAGTGAACAATACTGATCCCCCAATGTGCTCCATGCACCGCCAGAGGCCAACAAAACGTATCAGACATCCCCAGAAATGCGTCATTGCGCGTCCTCAAGCAGAGACTAGAAAGCCCGTGGCAGCTGGGATGACGTCCTATGGGCCACAAAATAGAACCGTATCTCCTATTTATACATAATCGGTTTAGGAAAGTGTCAGGTAATCAGTAATGGCGTAACCGCATTGCCAAGGACAAAGTACGATTCATTCATTGGAATGCGATCTCTTCTTTGCGACTGTAGTCGTGTGCGTTGCTGTAAACGGACGAGCTCACCCGCAGGAAATTTGCAGGAGGACTGCAACGTAATAATCATCGACTGGAGCGGTGGAGCCCAGCTGCTTAGCTATATCAAGGCATCGGGCAACACTGCACTCGTGGGCCGCGAGACATCGCTTCTCGTGCAACGACTCATCGGCACCTACCGCAACACGCTTAGCAAGGATCAGGTGCACATCGTGGGCTTCAGCCTGGGAGGCCAAATTGCGGGCTTCTTCGGCAGACACTTCAAAAACAGCACCGGCCAGCTCATCTCGCGAATCACAGGTATTTCTTTTCATTTTTGCGTTAAACCAGTGAACGAAAGTCTGCAGGGGCTTTCGCGAAGCCTGGTGTAGCTCTAAAATATAAATAAAATGCACTGAGCCAATGCGCCGAAGAGAGAAAAAGAAAAATATAAAAAAGAAAGAGAAAAAACTTGAAACTAAAGCAAATCCGGGGCGTCTTCGAAGACCGCTCATGTAAATAGTGTGAGGCACCACTCTTCTTATCAAGTGTATTTTTCATAAGATATCCGAGAAGTAGAGGCCAAAACTTCACCAGTAGCCCCTTGACCTCCTTGCCTAAATAGCCTATCAACGCACATCCTTTCGTGCGTGTTATTGCTCTAGTATACGTGCCACTTGCGACGTTGCGCATGTATATATGCCGAGCTATATTGCTAAATTGAAGGCTTTCGCGGTAGGCTGAACGCAGTCACAGCGAAAGCTAGAAGAGCGGCCTTTCAGAGCCTTTTCTAAACACTCATCAGGTAACTACTGCAAGCACACTTGCTTGGTACCCACTAGGAACTAATAATAAGCTTTTGAGTAGTAGTCCGGCATTCGCTATGCTATTTCTCGTCATTCTTATGAGAAGCGTGGTATCCGCTAAACACTTACAAGGAATGTTGGGCCGATTGTCCATGCAGTGGCTGACGACGATGAGGAATTATGGCAGAAGTGGGTATGCGCCAAAGTTAATAGGGGAAAAGATCAAGCTTTTGTCATGGTTTGGAGCATTAAAAGGCCCACTTGTTACGCTATTCGCATTGTGCGACGACTGGTTGTTGCTTCGCTGTTGTAAAACACTTTATGAGTCGTATTAACGCGATTGCTTTCCCGACATCAAGCCTACCTAAGGAAAGTTTGACAACGTCTCACAAGCACTGCTGTAACTCAGTGGTAGAATACTTGGAAGGCACCCAGCGCACCCGGGTTCGATCCCCACTGTGCCATTGGTGCTATGCCATACTTTATTAAGGCAAGTTTGACAAGTTATAAGCGCCGGCGTAACTCAGTCGTAGAATATTGGGCTGGCAGACAGCGGACCCAGGTTCAAGCCGCGCTGTGTGATTAGTGCACAGTTTTTTTTCTATTTTCGCGCGACGTGGTTCCAGACACCGGTGGCGGCGGCGGCAGCGCACAACAACTGCGCCTGACCCGAAAAATGACCTCATAACAGTCTTCGCTGTAATTGAAATGAAGCCATTTGTAATACAGCGACAAATGTGTGGAACACTCTACACAAGCGCCTATTTGTGGGCCATGCTACGATTTAAAGTACTTGATAATTAGGAAGGTTACACAAAACATTGTTATCATGCTTCACCTAACAAAACTCCAGGCCTGCGGGGAAGTCACAGCACATTCATAGCACATTCACAGCGAAACTAGAAGAGCGGCTTTTCAGAGCCTTTTCTAAACTCTCATTGGGTGGCAACAGCAAGCACACGTGCTTCATACCCATGGCACCATGGTAATAATAACAAAATTTTAGGTTAGTAAGCCGTCATTCGCTATGCTAATTTTCATTACTTTTTTAGAAGCCTGGTAACCGCTAAACAGTTGCAAGGAAATTTGTTCCAATTGTTAATGCAGTGGCTGACGATGATGAGGAAGTATGCCTGAAGTGAGTACGCGCCACAGTTAATATACAAGTTTTTGTATTGGGATGGAGCATCGGAAGACCCAGTCGTTGCGCTATTTACATTATGCGAAAACTGGTTGTTCTTTCACTGTTTCAATGCTTTTTAAGCCGTATTAACGCTATTGCTTTCCTGACATCAAGCCAGCCTAACGCAAGTTTGCGTAAATTTCCATGCATCGGCGTGGCTCAGTTGTGGAATACTTGGATGGCACCCAGAGGACTTGGGTTCGAGCCCCAATGTTGTAATGGTGCTAATTTTTTTCTAATTTCGTGCGATGTGGTTACGGACACCAGCGGTGGGCAACCGTGCGTTACTTGAGTTGTGATATCATAACAGTAAAAAACTAGTAATTTGTAGTAAGGCACTGAACATACTAAAGTGCTTGTGTGATTCAGTATATGCTCGAGTATTGCTATCCTCAGGCTGTACAGCAGTGAAGACGAGCCGTTACGTAGCCACCCTCTACCAAGTGCTATCTAGCGTGGTAGGAATAGAATAACGCCAGCACGCTCCTCATGTAGGCTCGACTTGTGGTGCTCTACAAAGCCATCGCATGAAAGCCCTCCTGAATATTGCTGTGTATACTTGCGAAACATGAGAAGTTTTCGCGGCCACAATGTTAGCCTTCAACAAAAAAGTCACAGCTTTGCCGGAAAGGCGAAGCAATGAACGCGATAGCAACAAATTGAAAGGTCGCACGCAGAATGAAAAGCAGATGAAAACAAGCCCCGCGTTCCTCACGCACAAATGACGCACAAAACGTACTCACAGGTATAGATGAACGCGAATAAGCGTCTCATTTGTTACTTAGCTGCGTCTAAAAAGCACGTGCTTTTTGCAAACGGAGACTGCAGTGATTGCAGTGACCTTTGTGCCCCGGGTAACTACCGCAGAATCGTTCCAAGTAAAGCCCAAGGCCATCCAAGGTATACGACCTTCCCTTCCTCGCCACCGTGAGATAAGGGCGCGTGAGGGAGCGTCGTTCCCCTTCTCTAAGGCAGGCAAAGTACGCGTAGGAGTTATAGCGAGCACCACCGCACAATGTGGTGACGCTACGCGCGCTCACTGCGCTATCTTGTTGGTAATGCTGAAAACACGATTCCTTACCCCCCCTAGATACTTGTGAGCAGCGGTAAGCAGTAGATATAAGTAGCTTGCCATTTGAAGGGTGCAGGGTGTGCTCAGGGCTGGTTCAGTGGTTAACGCTTCACCTTCACGACCCAAACATCCCATGTTCGATTCCGCGCGCCGTAGCGTTTAATTATTTTATATTTTCTTTCTGTCTGGCGTTTTCACATATACCGATACGCATACATATACGGTGCATGACATCGATGCCGACGCTGGTGGCAAAATCCAGCCGAGAGTTTCCACATAATTGCTGTCACAATAAAAGAAGCGCATGATCATTTATATGCGCTATCCCTTTACAAGATATATGTGGTGAGCGCGCATTGAGTGCGGTCGCCACGATGGTGTATCCGCAAACAAGCTTTCTGCACGAATGGCAGGCAACCCTGGAGGTAGAGCTATGCGTCATGCAGTCTTACGTTGGCCTATCAGTATAAATGAATGGGTCATACCAGAAGAAGGCCTCAATTTTAAGCCATCACGTGGCCAAATCAATACACAAGTATAACCTTGTGACGTAGACGTTATCAAATCTTCCAGAAAACGACTTCATTAGAACTTCCACCTTGTAATGACGCCAACGGCGACTTGTGTTAAAATTGGTGCTTACGGTGACTTGTGAGCTTCAGCAATAGGGTTTTTTTTTTCTTGTGACCTCTTTAGTGTTTCATTATCATTTGTACTCAACCAACGTAGTACCCCACGTTTAAAGGTCTGCGAGCGATTTCCCGCTGCTTTTCTTTTTCTTTTTTGTTAATTTAGTATATGAACCGGTTGGAACTAATCAAGCTTGAGAATGTGCCTTGCGTCAGGCAGTCTTTTTTGAATTAAATACTACCGCTCCTTTTCCGTTGTGGACTTGCCCATATCTAATCATTGTGACCGCTGCATAAGACCGCATGCTTTACGACTCCGGTTAGAAGGAGTAACAGTTTAAGAAAAAACACATGTGGCATTGTTCTACGCGAACGTGAACATATGTGACTGTTTTTATATCAAGAAAAGGTGTGGGAGTTGGGAGGGGTTACTGAGAGATAACCTAGAACCTCAGAAAAGTACTTATCTCAAACAATTAGAAGGAGATCAAGTTTACAGTCGGGTACAATTTCCCATAGGAAGCTTTCAAAGCTCCTTAGGTAGTAAAAGACGAAGATAATTGACTTCATAAGCACGCAGAGATGTTGTTAAGCTCACGACAATAATTTCAATTCACATGGATGAGTAAGAGAACTGAGAGACCTTCTTTGAAGTTTCTTTACAAAATTACGAAAGTGCAACGCATATCTTTGTTTAAAAGTGCAAATACTTATCTCTTCCGATGCTACAGCATTGGAGCATTCGCGCATACTCATGAATCATTCGACTGGGCTATAGAGCGAATAGAAAAAAACATACAGGGAACAACCCTCTCGATGCGATGTCAAATAACAAAAAGTTCGCGAAGACTTAAGGAATGATTTGAGCAACCACATCACCTAAAAGAAAGAAAATAACACAAAAGTTATGGCATACTTCGCACCATAACTGGGAGCACTGGATTGTGTAAGCACATGTCTGTCTACTCAGGAGAAATGCTATACAGTAATCAAATAGTTGGAGCCTCGTCCGCATCATTAAATTATGTCAAATATCAGTTCGGAAGAGCTGTGAAAACGAAGAGATGGACCAGAGCATGCCCGAAGTGCGCGCCCACAATCCATTTTGTTTTTAGTTTTTAACCGAGCGTCTAATGACAAAGGCGTTCTCGTCTGCGGCTCAGGTTCCTGTTTTTCATCAACATGGTGCCGTGACTAGGAGCACAACGAGCAGTTAAGACCTTTAATGATTAGGCGAGCTTCCTGAAGAGGACGGCTGATCGACGCGACCAACGCGGTGATGTTGGATGACGGGCGACCGATCCACGCCCTCACGAGACTTCGATTCCCGACGTGGCGACGTGGAAAAGCTACGACGGAAATGCACCACGGCTCGAGCGGTGGTCATCAGGATCATCAGTGACATGACGCCTTTTATGCGGACAGAACCTACGCCAACCGGTGCGCTAAGCGATCATCTTGACCGGTTGAAGATAAAGGAAACTCTGTTAATGGACCTTGACAGCTGGATATAACAACATGTTTCTGACAATAATCTTAAGGATGAGATTCAAAGTTTTGGGCAATATCATGCAAGATTCTATCGTTCTAGCAAAGTCCGACGCTGAACTGATTTTGTCAGCACGTCAAGT